CTTATACACTTAAAGTATTAATATTTTTGATTCTCTAGAAATTGTTTAGAACATACCTTAGTTAGCAATACAACGTTTACCGGGTCAACTAGTATGTTATATTATTATTAGTATATAATATTAATATATTTTAAAAATAATTTCAAGCACCTATTGCAAATATCATCAATAACAGAAACCATTAATACTTCTTCAGTTTCGAAAGAATGACATTGAAGGACAAATAAAATACTGAAACAATAATGAAAACTGTTTGCAATATTAATACATATCTTGTAGGTCATTGTCGTTGGAAAATAAGTTTTGGCAGGTGATTTGTAAATTATGTCTATATTTAAAGCCTATAGTTCATTCGGTTTATTTGTCAAATAGTCTGTTTGCCACAATTTAATGACAGACATACGAGACATTAGTTTAACAATGAGTTAATAAATAACTCGAATCATAATATATTTTATTACAAAATAAAATTTATAGTTATTATACGCGCAATATGTTGCCAGCTACAAATAACCGAGTCATTAGTTGTATTTTTCTTGCAAAAACTAAAAATATATTGTTTGGCAAACGTTTTCCCACATCATCAAGTGTGCTGAATGTGCATTAACCAAAAAAGTTCAATAACAAATTATCCAAAAATACGGTCATCTAACATTGTAATCTGTTGATACGTTGGAAGGCGGCCAACGTCGATGCCGATGCCACTGTTGTGTCTACATCACAAACGAGGGAACGATCTCTAGTGGCTTGTTTATAATCGTGATGATTAATTGTTACGAAGACGATATCTCGTATCTCTGATATTTATTAAGTCAAATTTAAACAGTGAATGAACTTCAGTGTAAACTACCTAATCAGCGGTTTAATAATTGACTACTAAGTTATAAAGATCTCTTTATATATAAAGTTTTTACGTTCATCACTTTGTAAATTGTAAACATAGATAATCTTCAGATTATTATTATAATATGTATATGAATAATAACAACATTTTGTGCTTAAGTTACACAATTTTTAGTATAGCGAAGCTAGGTGGTATAAGTAACGGGAGTAACTAGTAACAGGGGTTTCAATCTTAAACGATATTAAAATTGCTTAAGGCAAATTGCTGGAACTTCCCGTAAAGTAACAAAATATTCGAGGAATATTAAATGTTTTCAAATAGATTATTTTAAACTCTGTAATATCGTCTACTATTTATAAGAATTATATGAACTGAATTACAAAGTTAAAATTATTCACTTGAAATATGTAAGTGAGCTTCAGAACCTTAACCAGAATTAAAATTGAAATCTGAATTATTTTCGATAACAAAAAAAAAAAAAAAAATGAAATGAATTTTTTTTTCAGAGGCAATTGTTTAGTCAACACAAGCAGAATGTTTTTTGAATTATTCAAATCGAATGCTTATTTCTCTAAAAAAACTGCCATGTTTTGTACATTTAGCTCGGTATCTTCAAAATGGCTGGATCTGCCTTTGCCAAAAATTAATCACCACTTTTTTCAGATCATTCAAACTGCATGTCCCGTTCTCTCAAAACCTCGATTTCTATTTTCTGCAATCTTCGCTCTTTATCTCCGCAACGGCTGAACCTGCCTTTGACAAAAACTAATCAGCACATCTTCCTATCAATAGAAATCGAATGTTTGTTGAACCATCCAAATCGGTTGATCCGTGCGCCCAAAAACGTGAACGAAAAAATGCGGACACAAAAAACACACACACATCAATTTTTTCTGAGATATACCAAAATGTTCAGAAACCTTCAAAACGTGGAGAAATGCAAAAATTTTCATTTTCGATTATCGGCCCATTACTATAACTACCCTATGGGAAGTTAAAAATTGTCTCGATTGGACATGTAAACCGTCCAGCATTTTTTTAATTACTATATTTGTTACAACTGCTAAATAATTAAAATTTAGTAACAGTAATGAACAATTATATAAATTTAATAAAAAGAACACAAAATAAAGGATAGAATTTTCAATAAAATGATAAAAACCGTCTTGCATAATATTGTCATAGCTACTGTGCAGGTTGTCTATTTGTGATGTTCTGTACATTTTTGGCATGTAATATTTGATAAATTGATCTATCATAAAAATTTGGTTTGCGTTATTATTATCGACTAATTTTAAATATATCAATTTGCTTCAAATTTATCAATCTTTAATGTGTAACAATTTTTGTGATTGCTAGATCGTTTAAATAGTTACCTTGATTATAATAATGATAATGATAATATAAAGAAATTATACCTGGGGTTAGTTGAAATACACCAGAAATATACATAGATTCAAGTGAAGACGATTTGATGAAATGTATAGTAAGTAAGCTTGGACGAATATAAATGATGTTGCAGGAGATACTATATTTTTTATTTATATTAATTGCAATTAACTTTCATTTATAATAAAAATTTCTATTACATCGCACACCATATTTTTCATGTGTATTATTTATAGTTTATGTTTATTTATGAAAAGAATTACTTAGCAACATGCAAATTGTCTCAAAAGTAATAAATAATCAGAGGTCAATAATGTTAATAATAATAATGTCGTTTTTTGTTGTTACTACTTGTCCCGGTAGATGTTACAACTAGCCCCAAACACACCGAACTTTTCCTATAAAATGATTTATTGTGAAATAATTAACAATAGTTATGGTATTATTTGGAGGAATAATTATAGCATATCTTCACCTTTATATCATAGAATTATAATCAGTTGATCTAAATATAATAACTTAAAAAAAAAACAGTTACAAGAAGCCCCGAGCTGCCCTAATATGTATTTTTATTCCGAGAAGAACGCACCATACAATCACTAAAGAAACCTTGTAGTATTTATATTTTTCTTTTGATACTGAATGCAATAGTTATTGAAATAACTTCAGCAATAAAACCAATCACTATTTTCCCTGAATGCAGATCCCTTAGGAACTCCACTCAGGAAAGCTTAGATTGAAGGATTTTCCGCTGTTATTTCATACCGCAGTACCCGAATGCGCAATTTCTAATTGGAAACATTTTTTATCTATATTTGCAAACGTAAATAGATATTACTACTGTATCTAGGGTAGTATTTTTTGGGCTCCGCTTACTTTGTTTCTAGTTAGCTGTTAAGTGGCTAATAATTTTTACTATAGTCATGGAAATTGTTATGAAAGCATATGAGAAGTATGACCATATGCTTCAATTTCTGAACCTTGTTTTGTAAAATTTAGAATGAAAACTTATATCCATTTTTATTCGTTACTAAGTGTTTAAAGTCTGGCAATATTCCAAAACATCAATTTATCATTAATTGCTGTTAATGCATTTGAATCCCTTGAGACGATTTGTAGGGGTTAAGGGTAACAAGAATGATATATGCGGGTAGATTTACTATTCGCTGCATCATCGTGAAATAATTTATCAAATTTATATCATTAATGTAACATAAAATTCAGTAATTATAGTAAAAGATTGTACCTTGAAACTTTGGCAATCATAGTACATACATTTTTCAAAACAATACGAAATGAACTAAATACAGTTTATTATGATTTGTAACACTCCTTTGTTCTTAAATAGTTAGGTATTATGTTCAGTTTATTATTCACAAAACAGTGTAAGAATATTACCTACTACTGGCCCTAATGTAAATTAGACGCATACATGACTTCATTATAAATTCTTTGTTATTCAATATTTTGCTAACATCAACATGCTTGTTAGTAGAACAAATAAAAAATGATAATTGGGATGTTTCGTTATTTTATCTTAATATACATTATGGTATTTATTGTTATAATTATAAATAGAAATAACTTCAGAACAAGGTTATTTAAATGAGTGTTAACATTGATTTTTAATATTGACTAATTTATTGTAAGTCGTGTACATTTGTTATACCTACACGAGGTGTTAAATGACCGTTTAGTACATATCTACATTTTATTCTCAGAGCTGTCGTATTGTAGATAAAAATCAATATCACAATTTGTTTACTCCCACGAAAGACATTTGAAGATCTCTATTGAAAATGCTAATGTTTAATATAAAAAAATCTGAACAGAAGTACGCGAACACCTACACTTATATGTTGTACGAATTCTGAATATATTGTATAAAATTATAATTGATCAAGAAGAAACATTTCATAACAATTTTTTAATAAATTTATATAAATCAAAATTCTTGTTCGTATTATCAATCATAGTTAATATTATTGTGAATACTATTATCATAGCGCTTGCATATTAAATTTGAATAAATTCGAGCTCAAGTTGCTCTTGTTTGAAAGAAATAGATGTATTTAGCTAACATGCATTTGCAAAATATCATTCTTTATTTGACGTATTAGTGTTAATAAAAAGACAAATAAAAAGTTTAAGAGATAGATTATATCTTCGCATCATACGAAAAGGAAGTTAAGATGATTTGATATATTGTAAATAAACCAGCTGCTATTGAAAATATTTTCGCCGATTTGTATTTGATCTCGTGCCATATTTTCCATGAATATTGTTTTGCAAATTTTTTTAAACAATATTTAAGTAGCAGTTTTCCATAATCTATTGTGATGTTTGTTGGAACTTCAGTAATAGTACCGGAGTTCAATATACATATAATGATAGAGAATCTCTATCTTTATCTCTAATAGAGATCACCTCAGTAGGTTATTCCATTTTAATTTATTAGATCGAAGGGATGCTTATTCTTAAAAATTTTATTAGTCGTTGATTCTAAAATTTCCAAATCGAACTGAACGCAATTACACCGTGTCGAAAAATTTGCTATTTTTTAAATTTTTTATTATCTCCAACTAGTTTACATACCACTTACCATTTATCTTCACATTATTTTACCCCATAGTCCACTATAGGTTAAAATGTAAAACGCTAAGATCAGACCAGATTTTTTGATACCATATAACGAGTGATATAAAATATAAATATTGTGTTTGGTCCAGTCTGGAAACATTTAATGAAAAACTGATTATATCCTTACCTCATCTTAGGTTGGCTTGATTTAAGGTTACCAATTGCATCCACTTCCTGCAAAGGTATCGGTCTGAAAGAGTGACATAAGTTCAAATTAATATTTTTTTAGATTTATGTTATTTCTGTAGAATTCTACATTCTTCTATTCAAGTTTTCTAAAATTATTAACTAGGGTTATTCATTTCATCAAATAAATTTGAATATATGTAAAGCGATCAAAATGTGAAAGAATTGCAAAAATCATACATCTAACTTAGACTTCAATTAAACTAGCACAAAAACTCATCATATTCTCACCTCATCTTGGATTGACTGGGGTTGCCAATTGCTTCCACCACTTCTTGCATCGGTCTGAAAGAGTTACATAAGTTCAAATTAATATTTTTCTAGATTTTGTTATTTCTGTAGAATTCTACATTCTTCTATTTAAGTTTTCTAAAATTATTAACGAGGGTTATTCATTTCATTAAATAAATTTGAATATATGTAAAGCGATCAAAATGTAAAAGAATTGCAAAAATCTTACATCTAATTTGAACTTCAATTAAACTAGTATAAAAACTCATCATATTCTCACCTAATCTTAGATTGAGTGGGGCTACCAATTGTTTCCACCACTTCTTGCATTGGTCTGAAAGAGTTACATAAGTTCAAATTAATATTTTTTTAGATTTTGTTATTTCTGTAGAATTCTATATTCTTCTATTCAAGTTTTCTACAATTATTAACGAGTGCTATTCATTTCATCAAATAAATTTGAATATATGTGAAGCGATCAAAATGTAAAAAAATTGCAAAATCTTACATTTAACTTGAACTTCAATTAAACTAGCACAAAAACTCATCATATTCTCACCTCATCTTAGATTTGTCGGATGGTCCACTGTTGTTAGCAGTTGCTTCTACCACTTCCTGCAAGGGCATCATTCTGAAAGAGTGACATAAGTTCAAATTAATATTTTTTTAGATTTTTGTTATTTCTGTAGAATTCTACATTCTTCTATTTAAGTTTTCTAAAATTATTAACAAGTGTTATTCACTTCATCAAATAAATTTGAATATATGTAAAGCGATCAAAATGTAAAAGAATTGCAAAAATCTTACATCTAACATCCTAACTTGAACTTCAATTAAACTAGCATACACTTTTTGATATGCTTGCATCTTACAGAGAATAGAAAAGAATTGGAAAACAAGAAAAACTAATAAAGAAAAATTAAATACAGAAACAGTCATTAAAATTGAGGAAAAATTAAAAACAGCTCTTAAATGTGTCTAGGTTCCAGGAAATTTAAGCAGGAATTTTTGATAAAAAAGTTCAACAAGTAAAATGTGAATGTATAAGAAAAAAGAGAGTCTTTTTGCACTCATGATGATTTGGGCAGAGCTCTTAATATCATTGTAATCCTGAAGACAACGATGGATTTCTTTTTCCAACTACCGTACTAGAATAACACTGTATCTCATTATGAATATAGGCGTAATAGTAGTCGATGGAAATACATTAATTACCACATACGGTGACGTGTGCAGACGGCACCGTGACGCTTCCGAATGTATTCTACGACAAGGCGTGCGTCATCTCCTCATATCCGAGAGAAAAACACTACACACCAGATAATTCGCAAACAAAACACATTACCCATCAGCGAATTACCACAACGCACCCGATATAGATTTCTGACCGCACATTCAATCCATATATTGGAACTCTGACTGGAATTTGCTCTGCATTCTCATACTTGATCCGTAAATATGTTTTTGAATGCTCGTAACTCAAACATGACGAATAAGTTTATATATGGAACATATATTTGGATGCGATAAAGTAAGATTTTGTGCCACGAGATTTTTTAAATGATTTTCCAGTCAAGTTTCTTGAATACTTGGAAATTTAGTTAAATAGAGAAATAGGAGAGTTGCTTTCAATTTTGTTGTTATTGTCATTTCTCAGAATAGTCAATTGCCGAATAGATATACCAAATAAGAAAAAATACCGAAAAGTATTAAAAAATGTACTGAACTTTGCAATAATACAAACAACTGTTTAGGCAATGAGGCTTCTAACCAAATTTTTGTTGAAATGATCTTTGAACTTTGATATTTTTTTATTTACAGTTAAATAGCAATCAGAATACGTGCATTATAAAGGCTATTAGAATTTACTTGAACTCAAAATGGTTGAGTTCATAAATATGGTTTGTTTTGGTAACTCACCAATGAGAGCCCTAATTATTTAAAGTAAATTTATGGGTTGTTCCTTCTTTAGGATCCTTCTGGACTCCTTCTTGACCGGTTAAAATGGGACATGCATCTATTTTTTAACACTTCATGTATGAAATCAATTTTAGCTCATTATGTATAATTTTATTAGAGATGTACTAGGGCGTTTGGTTGATCAATTTGAGATATTTTGACGGAAGTCTTTGGAATTGCAATATTCGGGGTTTCCATACGTCGTACGTCCATATTGGTTTAATCAGTATCTTGTACTGCAGGAGCTTGTCAAGTGAGAGTTTGGATTTCGAGCCCATTACATATACAGTATAGTATAATTAGTATTTAAGGTTTGTTCATGTAGATACACATCAAAAAGTACAAATTAATCAACCATCACAAAAATTTGGGGATCGTTTTTTTCCTTGATCGTATAATTAGATATACATTTTATTAGATTAAGTACTGAAATCTAAAGCAATAAAACAGCGATAAAGCTTTCAAGACAATACAATAATAAAGACAATAAATTACAAAAATATTTAATTTCCACGCACCTGAATATATATAAAACAAGCAAAAAGAAATATTTACGAATAAAACATATTTGCTTGGTTGCCGCATGCCAACAGCGGAAACTTGTACGACCTAATAGTGATTAAAAATAATTTATTTGATTAACTGATGGATTGCATCTATGAGTCTTCCTTTACTCACTTGTATTGAAGCAAAAACCCACATACATTGTGACAAATAATTAATTTTCGATATGCGGGAAAGAACGGCGCGGTCTTTCTAGAGAACATCAACAACTGGAGATAGCACATCTGTTAAATAATTAAAAATTGCCGAATATTTATGCAAAATTTTGAATATTTCTTATTTTCATACTTAATTTTAATTCTTCGGAGAAAGGGAATGCAAAATGAGAAACAAGTTTCAATAATTATACTAATGATCATAATATTTTATAAGTAAATGTCGCAGAGACAATTATTTTTTTAGAACTATTATTATGTCAAAGTATACAAAATCGAAGATTTTTGGAAGTAGGGGAAACTGGGTACGGTTTAGCCACTTTTTTGGATCAGTAATAATTTTGTAAATTTACCAGTAAGTTGGGAGAAAAGTAAATTAACCCTGGCACAACCGCGCCCAGTCTGCCCTACTTTAGGGATTTTGTTTTAAGATAATCATCAACTTAATTCACATGCACATAGTATTCTAAAGCATTTCAAAATACTAGAAATGTGTATATGTAAATCTCAGGCTAAATTAGCGTATACCTACCATTAACTGATGTTTCTTTCTGTCTCCTACATATAATAAATCAATGTACATCAAGCTAGTGAAAGGATAATGTAAGATAGTGAAATAGGTACATAAATATTATATACACACATATATATTTTTGTATAAATCCGAAAAATTCATATCGGCACTATATGATCAAAATCACGCTAATCTGTTTGTAGGGCTCTTTACAAGAAAACCACTACAGAGCGTACTCGTTTATATCCTTTTAGATTTTTTGCCTTCTTCGGGAGAAAATATATAAATTTATTAGAAGAATCAACGCAAAAAATGAACAAACGCGTCTCTGGTGAGCTATAATTTTTTCGGTAATTTCTTGAAAAGACCCATATATGGATTATATATAACAGAATGCTATATATATAACAGAATCGCGAAGTGCCACTGAATAAATCGGATTGTAAACAATCAGCATTGATAAGCGATTAGAAATAACATACGCTACGATTTCTTTTTATCTTAGTTTATTTTATAAATAATTATTATAAATAATATATCAGCATTCTAAACAAGCGTTGAAAATTGCGTTGAAGCATTTAACGGGGTTTGTTTACTTTTAACAAATACGCGGAATGATTACAAAGATTCAAGCCGCAGACAATATTGCCGAACATACAAATAGTAGAGTTATTTAATATTTTGTTTATAATTTGTATAATTTGATGAATTATTGAAATTAAATATTTATTTCATCCAATATATTGTAAATATAATGGTTCGTTGTAATTTAAGAATGGATGTTTAAATCAAGTGCACTGCCATCTATTATAAAAAAATAAAACGAAACAGTATTAGAAACTGTACTAACTCTGTAAACTGTAATATACTCGAAAAATAGTTTGGTATGAATAATGTAGAAATTGATTAATTTTAGTAACAGGTGATAGAGCATATATATTTGAATGAAACTAGACTTAACTAATTCTGTGAAATTAAAATGAACTTTAAACATTTTTAGTAATATTTGAACATGGCATTTTGGAACATATTTACATTTAAATGTAATGCTTGTACAGAGAACTATCCATTCATTATATTCTTCACTATTATTAGTATGTTAAATATTTTGCAAGCTAATTTTTTGTTATAATATATAACATTTTTATTATTTGAGTAAAACTCATTGTCAGTCTATATTAATTTATGTTACTAACTGCAATCAATGTATTCTTTCAACTTAGCGGTATTTCTACCCTTTCTTCGAATTGATAAAATGATATGTGAAGGCAATAATACAACTTGATACAGATTATATACTCACTGAATCATTATAGGTAATAGTTGTCCACTAGAACTATAAAAGGTTGATCATTTATGAGCCAAGTTCTTTGGCATGTACGTTAGAATATCACTAACCGCGATAATGAAAGCGATAATAAAGGTTCTTCGCGATTACTATAACATTCTTGTGGAGTCAGATGGGAATGTTTGCAGCGACACCGATGGCTCTTACAACTTACATATTAAGCATCGATTGTCGTGCGAGAGACGTTCTTCGAACTGAATTATATGAACAAATATTGTATAAATCAAATTAATTAAATATTGGTGTATTACCATCGTGTCCTGCGGCGACTTTCTGAAACTTTATGATATCTAATTAAATGCTATAGGGGAATGAGAAAGATAAAGTATTTTTGTTCGAACAAGTTGCCATTATTACATTGAGTCAGCGCCCTACACGATCTGTAGACCGCATTGCCTTTAAAGAGTCAAAAGTAAGTTTTCATGTTCGATTTCTTTTAATAATAACTGTTACTTTATACGGATAGATTACTTTATTTGTTATTTTTCTGTAAGTTGCACATCAGTAGTTAGTTTTTGCGTAGATAATTTAGTTCAGTGATAACGATGATCTGTTTTCAAAAGTGTGCGTCGGGTGCGGTTGTGACAAATGTAGTGGGTACGGTTGAGACATTCATTTATTGTCCTTTCTGGGTGAAGATTAAAGAGATAGTGAAAATTTTAAATTAACTAATAATAGGGCTAAATTCGAAACAGAAAGGGAAAGGGAAGAAAGGCTTTACAAATAATTCCCATTAACTTTGTTTAAAAAAATTAATGAATGCAGCAATAGTAATATATTGCTATATTGTATTCATAAGCTTTGTTCAAATGATTATGTCGCGTATGTTACATATTTCTGACATTAAAAGACATTTCTGTCACACCTGGTTTATTGTAATATTTTTAGTTAGGTGTTTATACCTATTGTCTTTTAACTTATTTCCATGGCTGTCACCGTCCCTGGGTGTGGGAAAGGACAGTATTTTGTATATTCATGTAAACAAATGTTCGAATTACCATTTAATTCACTTTTCTCTCAGCTAACTGGTGATTAAAATAAAGTGGCACAACCGACCACATATAGTATAGTATAGTATAATATACTCGTAT